CAGTCTGGGGTGCATGCTAGATGCCCAGAGGTCAGACCTAGGCCTTTCCGGCATATGGTACCTGACAGGTACTTATGGAAATCTCTTTACAGGTTTATCCTTATGTTTGCTGATTTGATTTGATGGAAAAAACAAAAACAAAAAAAAACTCAGGGCCTCAAGCCTCAGGTTTGGGATGGCGTAGGAAACAGAAGAGAGGTACAGATCTGAAGGGTGGTCTCTGATGCTGGGGAGACTCTACCTAGAGCTGCTGACCAACCCTAGTGTCCTGGCAGAACTTACTATAAACAAGATTGGGGGAAGCACAGAGCTGGTAGAGGTGCTTTCCCACATTCCCCCTGCCCCAAAGACACACAACCAAGGCATGTGAAGAACCTCTTCAGACCACTTTGAATGGTCAGGCCTATCTAGGCCTGACCCCTGGGCATCCAGTATGCACCCCAGGGGCTGACACCAGATTCCTCAAGGGCACCTTAGTGACAGTGAGTGCTCGTGGCCAGCCATCTGGTCCACTGTTGTCAGGTATCATCCCCAGAAACTACCGACTGTGACTGTCTCTGAAACTGCATAGAATTCATTGCATAATTTTGAGTTGATATTATAGTTTACACTAAAATCATACTGTGAAACTGATATTAAGATGAGTGATAAGAGAATAAAATTTCTGTATACCATATGTTTGATTTACATCCCAAATGTGTGTGCTAATTCTGAACCCCTTGATTCACCTGATTTCCTATTTAAGTTGTATATAGGTTATGCATCATACCCCTATGTGTGGACCCCGATCCTGGTTAGTCTATGAATTCAATTTCAGATACACAAAAAGCCTGGGTGACGGGGTGCTCCACATAGAAAGAAATGGAAAAGATGCAGATGATCATTCAAAAAAACTCTGACCATCTGGGTATTTGTCAATTAGCTAGAATTCTGTATTGATAATATGCTTCAGGAGGCCAGAGAATGGAGATGGAATAAAACCAGAAAAAAAAAAAAATGACTGTGTTTTTGTGTCTAAAACTAATGCACGATAGAGTCACAGCAGCCATGCTAGGAGGATGCGATTTCTCAGCAATGCCAGGAAGATCTGAGAGAACCGGCAGGAGCATACTATTCCTTTCTCTTCAGAGAAAACGACCCGCCTTGACTTCTGTTTCAAGACAGTCAACTAATACTAAACTGTAAAAACAAGGCTAAGAGGAGACAGAATAAATACCAAAAAGCTCTCCAAGATTCACTTCTGACAATGATAATTAAAAACACAACCTATGAGCTGTTAAACCCCCAAATAAAAGGAAATGCTTCTGAAAAATATGTACTTCATCTATTTATTAAAACAAAGGAAAATAAAACATGAAAAGAGTGAGTTGTTTTTAAGAGGCGAGTGGTGCCTAAATATGTTTGATAATATCCTTGGTTTTTATTCGTCTAGCCAAAAAGCTTTCCTGCTCCTAACCCCCTCAGCTCATTCAGACAGTAAGGATCAACACGACCTTTGCTTTGACTATGTCAGACTTGTGTTTCTGTAGAAAGAACACCTCACCTTTATGCCACGTCTCTCCATATTCGCCACCTCCTCTGATGTTGGCCACTGCCAGGATACCACCCATGTGTCTCACAAAAATAAGCCTGGAAACACTGAGAAACAGTAAAAACAGTTAACCTTCCATTAACTGCCTAATGAAGACCATGTTACCCCTCTCCTTCTCAAAAAAGTGTATGCCCAAGAACACTGAGTAATATCATCTAAATAGGAGACTGATATTCCTTATATTGCTTAAGTGAAAAATACGTAACTTCCAATTAGTACCTAATTGCAAGGCTTTTTTTTTTTTTGAGACAGTCTGGCTCTGTCACCCAGGCTGGAGCGCAGTGACACGATCATGGCTTGCTGCAACCTCCACCTTCTGGGTTCAGGTGATCCTCCTGCCTCAGCCTCCCAAGTAGCTGGAATTACAGGTGTGTGCCACCACACTTGGCTAATTTTTGTATTTTTACTAGAGACGGGGTTTTGCCAAGTTGGCCAGGCTGGTCTTGAATTCCTGATTTCAAGTGATCCGCCTGCTTTGGCCTCCTGAAGTGCTGGGATTCCAGGCGTGAGCCACCGTGCTCGAGCAAAGCTAATATGTTTTCACAGGCATTTGATGTGTCTTATTTTTCTAAACAGATAAATATTTCACTATACAATTCATAATATAAACAGAGAAAAAACAAAACACTGCCAGCCCAGGCATGGATGGTGCTGGGCTCACACAGGAACACCTGATAATGGTCCTGTTTATCATTTTTTTAGTAACTTTCTCCAAACTGTTTAAGTTGGAAAATAAAAACAGCTTTTTCTAAAACACGGATTTTTAAACATGTTTTCCAGTTCTACAGGAACTTCGCCGTTAAACTAGCCAACACAGGGTGTGCGAGAGGTAAAGGCGATCAGGAATAGAGTTCTCAGGGCTGGAGGATATTTTCTAGAGATAAACGGAAGCAATTATAGCACAAACCCTCTAGGAAAGTGTTAAGTCCTTCGGAAAATCTGGATTTTATTTCCCCCTTCTTTTTCCACTATGACCCTAAAAGTACTGAGTGACACTGCTGCTAGTTAAAATTAACTTTGCTTTGAGAACTATTTCTGAGAATTGTGTCACTCTTTTAGAAACTGGGGAAATCATGGGCTTCTGCAACCTGAAGGCTCTTGATGGCTTGAATGCTAATTTCCTAAATATTGAGGATGAACAGGAAAGGTCGAAAGACTTAAGGTAGATGTATCAGCCATCCAACCACACCTTATTAGCCAAACTGTTGTTTGAACACCTGGTCCTCTCTCCAAGATTTTCATGCATCTTTGATGGTCTCTTCTGAGACTACTATTAAAGGCACCGGGTTCTGGGATGAAAATGGCCCTGGGACTTATCTCTTGAATCCCAGCAGGGCAGGCTTAATCAATGCTTGTTGCCCAAATGAACAAAGACAAGTGCTTGTTTTAGGTATAGTAGACCTACTCAGGAATCAGTGTTGTCTTGATCCTATTCCACCTTCTGGGACCAGGGAAATGGGGCTGGAGGTGACTCATTATTCACTGAGGAAGCACGTGTTCACTGCCCCACACTCGAGCATCCCTGTGAGCTAAAACTGAAGCCTGTATTTTAACATTTTGAGTGATACAAGGATTAGGTTAATACAATAAACCAACGTTTATTGTCTTGCTTTTTTATTATTTTTACAAGGGGCAAGGAGGCTTGCATTCCTAGAAGAATAATTTCAGGGAATACATATGGCATGTAATATTAACACATAGATATCACTGTGTTAATATTACATATTTGTTATTACAACCATAACAAATCTCATTGCCTGTGAAACTTTGGAAAGAGATGGGAAGTCCCCATGTCTGGAATGCTGCCTGGTAGATGGCGCTGTCAATACAGGATAAATGAACAGCAACCGTTATGACACTTTTCTAACTAGTTTCCCTTCGTTTACTCATATGATGATGCCACGTATCTTTTGAAAATACTGTTCTACATCATGATTTTACACAAAAGCCTCCCATCAGCTCCTTGCTAACAAAAAAGTAAATGCAAACTCCTCAGCCAGATACTTGAGATCCACAGTTTCATTACAAATCACTTGAGGGCAGGCATCATGTTTCATACTTCATTACACCTAAAATAAAGAGCTTCTACAGATATTGAGTGCTCAAAACAAAGTAACTGTTCTTGTATTCAACTTCAGGACAGATGGTTAAATCTATTCTGAATTTATGTCCTGGTAGTCACCAGTTCATGAAGCTCTTCCCAAACAGAAAAGATCCTGGATGAATCTGTGAATCAGATTTCATAAGGGGTTCTATTTGGAAGATGGCTCAAAGTTAGTCTTGCTGGTAGGAAACTCCTTGTTTTTATTAAAAGGGCTCAAGCAAATTCCACTTTATATTGGCAATGGGATACTAAAATCAAGTTTGCAAATAACAAAGAAGATATTTATACCAACAGCAGCAAACATATGAATGTAGAATTTTCTCCCTGAACGTAGTTATCTGGGAAATAATCATAGAAACAGTGAGCACAGAACAGTCTGAAATATAGATGATGTAACAGAGTATACAGAAAACATATTTATGGCTGAACGTTAAGACAGTCTATTTTAAGACTTTGCTGGTGAAAAATATCAGCTAAGAAATCATTCCCTCTGAAAAGAATACTGAAGGTAGTGCAGTGGAGCAAATGACAAACATCAAAGAAAGGAGCTTCCTTTAAGACCTCGACTCATGCTGATCTTCCTGGAGTCATGCAGTCATAGCCTCCCCATCTAGTTCTCAAACAACCTATTACCCTGAATGAAAAAACAATTTTTTTTTTTTTTTTTTTTTTTTAAGATTAGCTTGTAAATGATCCTTCAATTCCTGGTCAAAATTTCAATAGTTAACACACAATCCTGCCCATCTAGGAAAAAAAGAATTTTGTAGTACTGTATTTTATTTTATTTGAGACAGAGTTTTGCTCTTGTTGCCCAGGCCAGAGTGCAGTGGGGTGATCTCGGCCCACTGTAACCTCCACCTCCTGGGTTCAAGTGATTCTCCTGCCTCAGCCTCCTGAGTAGCTGGGATTACAGGCACCCGCCACCACACCCAGCTAATTTTTTTTTTGCATTTTTGGTAGATATGGGGTTTTACCACATTGGCCAGGCTGGTCTTGAACTCCTGACCTCAGGTGATCCACCGGCCTCAGCCTCCCAAAGTGCTGGGAACCACCACACCCGGGCAGTAATGTATTTTAGAAAGATGATTTAGTACAGCACTGGTTCGTTTCCACTCTACGGAAAAGATCAAACACTGGCACTGTGAGTGCATTCTGAGCTCACCTGTAGTTGGGTGTGATGGATATGTTGAAGCCACCATAGCCATATAAGAAAGCGGGATGACAACCATCCAATTTTATGCCTTTTTTATGCACAATGAACATTGGAATCTTCGTACCATCCTTGCTGGGGTAGAAAATCTAGAACATAAGAAGGCAGAATATAAGATTTAGCATTACTTAGTAAATACTGCATGCTTTTAAATGGGAAAAACAGTAAACTCTCTCTTCATGATGTACAGTGGCACAATGAAAACCTATCGCCTCTAAAGGGCTTTTTGGTGAAGAATCTTTCTGTTTTTAAGGAGAGCACACAGAGCAGTTTAAAGAGGCTGGCTCTGAGAACGGAGACCCACATTTAATTGTTATTCCACAGCTATCTTGCTGGTGCCCTTTGCATGTTGTTTCTCTCTCCTAGCCTCAATTCTGCATCCCCACATGTAGCTATCGTGCCCACCTCTCCAGGCCTTCCCGAAGCACACACAGAACAGGCTTTCCATTCTCTGCTCCTTCTCACCCCTCTCAGCACTGACAGAGGCAGATTTGCCATCCTGCCAAGCAACTTAATCTAGTAAGACTTATACTCCAGAAAACAAATTTCATATTCAACTTCCTCTCTAAATGTTAAGATGCTCAAGATGTCATTTTCCTATGCTGAACTACTAAATAAATGTTAGCAGCAACAAAACTTACTAGCTGAGAAAGTTGATGAAGGAAAACATGGAAATCCTATTATTCCCAGTAAACAACGACCTTTCTCTCCACTATTGATAACTAATATAACGTTCCTAAAGCCTTCCTGAATCCGGGCTACCTCAGGCAAGTTCAAAGTCAACATCTTCATAGCCTTTTGGATAAAGGATTTGAAAAAAGGCATAAGGAGAGGAACATTAAAAGCTAGTCAACTGACAAGTCATAGAATAAATTAGAAGCCACAAAAAGCTGATAATGCTTTTTTCTCCTGAAAGGAAAGCAGTGAATAGCTTTCTCTTTGAGTAAACATGTTTTTACCGCAAATAACTCCTAAAAAGTGCCCCAGTTTGGAATCGTCTTGTTGACCTTGTGTTCTAGTCATGGCTATAAGCCTTTACACTTCATGTGACCTGGAGCCATATTTTATCCATAGCTTTTTAAGGCAGCAGTTCTGTTGCAGAAAGTTGCCACAGAGTCCATGGAAATAACCATGGGTGGGGTGGGCGGAGGGAGAGTGGGCAGGGATGCAGATTTAGAGACAGGAGTTATAGGACCATGATAAACGCCTGCAAGTCTGGTAGTTTTTTGAAACCTGCCAAGAAACAGTAATATAAAAAGAGTTTGTTTCGGACTCTGCAGAGAAATATTGAGATACACTTAAATTTGGCATCTGAGGAATCATGGAGAATACTCTTCAGAGTTCAAAATTATCAGAGGGGATACAGTTTTATTTAAAGTTACTTAGTGCCAGTCAGCAGCCACTAATAGAGAAACTGTGTGGGTAGGTACAAGTAAACAGAGTAAGAGGAACAAATTCCAAGGGACTGGCTGGGATTAGTGAGCTAAGACTCGAGTTAGAATTCAGAGCATTATCCCCACAGAGGCAACAGCATCGATGAGCAAATGAGTAAACCGTCTCACTGATGCTACCTTCACAGAATCCTCTGTTCAAAAACTCACATTCCCTCCAACCCAGCTTCTCCCCTAGTTTCAAATCCCAGTCCAGCTCAATTCTCCCCAGGCTGACCCCTCCTCATGCACCCTGATCTTCACGCAGCCAGCTGGACTGCTGCACTCCTCATCCCAGCTAACAGACTCTCAGACCCTCCACTGTTCCCACAGTGCTCTATCTCTTGATGCTTCATGACACTTCAACTTCCTCCTCCCATATCACTTTTCTTGCTACCATCTGTAAGATTTCCAGTGCCTGCAAGCCAGCCTGCAATTAGCTCTCTTATCTGACTCCAGGGTGAAAGCATCCTTTGAGAATATCATTGAAAGCATGAAGTTTCCATTATCCCCGCAGTTACAGAAATATATCTAAGCTTTAAGTTGGTGTGGTTCTAATGTTAAAAACATTATGTTGAATTTGGTCCAAAATGAAAGGACATTGTAAAGATGACTTTATTGTGGGGAAGACAACTCCTTACAGGAAGGCTATTTTAGTCTTGAAATAAGCATATAGGCATACCTCAGAAATACACTGATTTTTTGGTTCCAGACAACCACAATAAAGCAAGTCATACAAATTTTTTAGATTCCTAATGCATATAAAAGTTGTGATTACACTACATTGTAGTCTATTAAGTGTGCAATAGCATTGTCTAAAAAATGTGTATGCCTTAAAAAAGGCTTTACGGCTAGAAAACGCTAATGGTTATCTGAGACTTTAGCAATTCATAATCTTTCTGCTTGTGGAGGACCTTGCCTTAGTGTGAATAGCTACTGATCCATCAAGGTGATGGCTGCTGAAGGCTGGAGTGGCTGTGGCATTTTCTTAAATGAAGACAACAGTGAGGTATGCCACACTGATGGACTTTTCCTTTCATGAAGGATTTCACTTTTTTCTTCTTTTTTCTTGCTGCCTCTGTAATTGAAGAAATAGCAATGAAGGATTTCTATGTAGCAATGGAATGCTGTCTGTGATGGTTAATACGGAGTGTCAACTTGATTGGACTGAGGGATACAAAGTATTAATCCTGGGTGTGTCTGTGTGGGTGCAGCCAAAAGAGATTAGCATTTCAGTCAGCGGGCTGGGAAGGCAGATCCACCCTTAATCTGGTAGGCACAATCTAATTAGCTTCCAGGTATATAAAGTAGGCAGAAAAACGTGAAAAGGAGAGACAGGCCTAGCCTCCCAGCCTACATCTTTCTGCTGTGCTGGATGCTTCCTACCCTCGAACATCAGACTCCAAGTTCTTTAGTTTTGGGACTTGGATTGGCTCTCCTTGCTCCTCAGCTTGCAGACAGCCTACTGTGACCTTGTGATCATGTAAGTTAATATTTAAAAAGTTCCATATATATATCTCCTATCAGTTCCACCCTTTAAGAGAACCCTGACTAATTCACTGTTTGACAGCATTTTACCCCCAGCAGAGCTTCTTTCAAAACTGTAGTCAATCCCTTCAAACCCTGACACTGTTTTATCAATTAAGTTTATGGAACATACTAAAACCTTTGTTGTCATTTTAACGATGTTCACTGCCTCTTCACCAGGAGTAGATTCCATCTCAAGAAACCACTTTATTTGCTCATCCCTAAAAAGCAACTCCTCATCCATTCAAGTTTTATCACAAGATTTCAGCAGTTCAATCACATATGCAGGCTCCATTTCTAATTCTTGTTCTCTTGCTATTTCCACCATGTATGCAGTGACTTCCTCCATTGAGGTCTTGAACCCTTCAGAGTCATCCATGAGCATTACAATCACTTGTTTCAAACTTCTGTTAATGCAGATATTCTGACCTCCTCCCATAAATCATGAATGTTCTTCACGGTATGTAGAATGGTGAATCCTTTCCAGAAGGTTTTCAATTTACTTGGCCATCATCAGAGGAATGTATGGTAACTATAGCCTTACAAAATGTATTATTTCTCAAATAGTAAGACATGAAAGCCAGAATTACTGCTTGATCCACAGGCTGCAGAATGGATATTGTGTTAGCAGGCATGAAAACAACATTCACCTCCTTGTATAGCTCCATCAGAGCTCTCGGGTGACTAGATGTGCTGTCAATGAGCAGTAATATTTTGAAAGAAAATCTGTTTTCTGCGAAGTAGGTCTCAATAGTGGGCCTAAAATCTTGAGTAAAACATGGTGGGAACAGATGTGCTGTCATCCAGCTTTGTGTTCCATTTCTAGAGCACAGAGTAGATTTACCACAATTCTTAAGGGCCCTGGGATTTTCAGAATGGTAAATGAGCACTGGCTTAGCCCTTAAGAAAGTCAGTCTGTCCTTTGAAGCTTTGAAGTCAGGAACCGACTTCTCTCTAACTGTAAAAGTCCAAGATGGCATCTTCTTTGAATAGAAGGCTGTGCTCTCTACACTGAAAATCTGTTTAGTGTGGCCACCTTCAACAGTGACCTTAGCTAGATCTTCTTGAGAACTTGCTGCAGCTTCTATATCAGCACTTCTTGCTGCACCTTGCACTTCTATTTTATGCAGACGGCTTCTTTCCTGAAACCCTCTGAGCCATCCTCTGTTAGCTTCACACTATTCTTCTGCAGATTCCACACCTCTCTTGGTCTTCATAGAATTGAAGAGAGTTAGGGCTTTCTATGGATTTGGTTTTGGCAAATGTTGTAACTGGTGTGACCTTCTAATCAGACTACTCAAACTTTCTCCATATCAGATACAAGGCAGCCTTTCTTATCATTCATGTCTTCACTGAAGTAGCATTTTCAATTCTTTCAAGTTTTTTTCCTTTTCATTCAACTTGTACTGAGATAGACTAAAAGCTAGCCAAGCCTCTTGCACATTCCTTCCTCACTGAGCTTAGCCCTTTCTGGCTTTGATTTCAAGTAAGATGTGAGCGTCCTCCTTTGACCTGAACATTTAGAAGCCACTGGAGGGTTGTTCATTGCCCTAATTGAGGCCCAGGGAGAGGGAGTGAGACATGAAATGGTCAGCTGAGCAATCAGGACACATACAACATTTATCAATTAAGTTCATAGTCTTATATGGGTGTGGTTCATGGCACCACACAACAATTAGAATAGTCACATCAAAGATCACTGATGAGGGATCTCCATAACAAATATAGTAATAATGGTTTAAAGTATTTTGACAATTACCAAAGTGTGACACAGAGACACAAATAACCATGTATTGTTGGAAAAATGGCACTGACAGACCTGCTTGATTCAAGGTTGCCACAAACCTTCAATTTGTGGAAAAAAGAAAGGGGCAATTATTTGTGAAGTTCAGTTATACAAGTAATGCCTATACATGTAATATACACATGAATAACTATTTTATCAAATTCCTCTGTGGACACATGCATGCACACAGCAGTATTTTCTGACATTTCCAATTATGGAATGGTAATTGAGAGTAAATCTAAACTTGCCTCTTCAATAAAAGGGCAAATAATTTCTGAGTCTTTTGATAACTATGGAAGGAATCCATATAGACATTTTAGAAACAGCCCTTCAAAAGAGCCTAGGCATTTTCCATCATGTACTTTCTACTTCTTTGATTTAACCAAAACTGGTTTCCCCCGAAGCCACTTTTCCCCCCAGCTTTGTATTTTAATGGGTACAAAGAAGCCCCTTCTTTCAAAACTTTAAGAGGCTTTGGGAGTGTCTCCTTTTTCATTGCCCTGAATTTGCTGGGTCAGGAGGAGAAGCGAATAAACTCCTTGCTTCCATATGCTTCCCACACCTGGCCAAGAAGCTCCACATCAGAGTCTACATCAGTGGTTTTTGAGCCTTTTTGGCTGGGCCTACAAACCTGTGAAGAAACTGTTAAAAATACAGTTTCCCAGGCTTTATCCCCAGAGTTTTGGATTCCACAGGTCTAGAGCAGAGCCCCAAAATGTGCAGATTTAACACATATCCTACATATTCCGTGGCAGGTGGATCTGGGCTCAAAACACTGGTCAGACCATCTGCTTTTGTCACTACCTCTTTCCCTACCAATTAATATCAACTAAAACCAGATGTTTTCCTGTAATTCTTGATCATTTTAATGCAAGTCTCTACACTTCTCTTTACCCAGGTCTCCTGTGATTTTCCTCAGTGACTTTAACAGTGAAGCCTGTCCAGCATCCTCACCTTACAGATACCTGAATGCCTCAACAGCAAGACCTTAGTTTCCACCCTACCCTAGCCCCTGGTTCCCTCCAATGTTTGCTGTGTGTCTGTTATGTGCCAGGGGCCATACTCAGCCCTGGAGATGTAAAGAAGGCGAGCTGCGTGATCCCTCATGGGACCCCTCATGGGATCCAAGAGTCTACTGAGACAAACCAGCACAATACTCACCCATCACCTTGGTTGTGAACTTCTGCAAGGAACTAGGACAACCCCCACTGTGGTTCTAACTTGCCCTGTTGCCACTTCTGTCATTTCCTTACCCCTGAGGTATCTGCTTTTATTTTTTAAAACAACTCTTACGAAGACATTCAGCTGTTTATATTCTCTCTGGCTGTCACCTTCCCTTGGGCTTTCCTTGCCCAACTTGGGACCCCTGGGCAGCACTTTAAATGTCACTAAGTTTGGAACTCCTTTAATTTCGACTCTAACCCATTGGATTCCTTCTCCTCCCCTGGGCTGCTGGACACTCAGAAAATGCCAACTTGCTTCATTACAAATGCATACTTGAACTCAGCTGGGCCCTGAACTTACGTCTTAGGTCTTTTCCTTCCTAAATGTCTTCCATCTTTCCCCACCTAAATCAAGAGTAACTGTTTCCAATGTTTTCCATTTTCCTTCATTTCTGACACCACCATTTGCATCCCTACTCTGCCTCTGGCCTTGCCTATCCCTCATAGGGTCCGTCTGCTTGGAGTTCTTGGTAAAGCTTCTGCTAACTTCATTCAGCCTTTACAACCCCAGAGAAAGGAGGATTGCTCTGTCTTGATTCCATCCCTTACTGCCTCCACCACTACTGTGACAGTTTTTGTTTTTTGTATTTTTTCCCTTTCTTTGGCATACAAATAGACTCAAATTTCTCTTATCCTAGCCAACAAAACCTTATGTTTCACCCTGTCTGCCTCTTAAGCTATATTTCCATCTTTCTAATAGATTAATCCTGAGCACCCCATACTCACAGCTTACCACTTTCCCACCCCATTGATTCCTATCCCCATCATGCTCTTTCAAAGGTAATCAATGAACATTTGTCTTTCTCCATCCCTGCCTCTACCCTAGTGGTGGTGGAAAATCCTTTCCAACATTTTCATGAGCACATAGACACACACCTATTTACATGGTCAAATATACATAGGTTATTATTATATAGTGATAAATGGAATTGGGCTAATATTGGGCTATGATTCACTCTCCCTCCTCTTCACTTAGCAATTTATCATGGAATTCTTTTCAGGGTAAAACACTCAGATTTATCTCATTTTAAAAAATGGCTGCCTAATATTTCATTCTATGGATGCACATACATTTAACCATTTTCTCACTGATATTTAGGCTATTCATTATGTTCTGTGATTGGTAATGATGGAATAAATCCCTTTTAGATAGATCTGTAGGATATATTCTTAGACATGGGACTACTAGATTGAAGTATAAGTGCACTAAAAAATGCAATAAATTCGAACCAAATATCCTCCAAAAAGGACTTAATAACTTGACAATGTTCGCCTAAGTGTCCATGTCTCATCAGCAATGGATGTTAAAATAGATTTTAATTTTTACTAGTCTAATAGGCAAACACTGCCATTTCCTTATTGTATTTTTTTTATTAGCAAAGATTTTCATAGTCATTTTATATTTTGTCCTTGGAGAACAAAGTATGCCTGCTCGTTCATTCTGTTACTTCTCCTTTCTGATTACAGAAATTTATCTTACATTAAAGGGTAGTCACCTTTTTTCTATCATGCTTTGTTTATATTTTATCCCAGTACACCACCTTTTTTTCTTTTTAACTTTCTTTGTGGTGTCTTAAGGTGCAAGAAGGTGTTAATATTTATGTACCCAAATATCTATTTTTCCCTTTCAGCTTCCTATCTTATAAACCATTCTCTACCCCACGTTATAAATATATTTGTCTATATGTTCATCTTGACTTTTTACATTTATATTTTACTTTTATACATGGCCTAGGATCTAACTACTTTCCCCCAAATGGCCAATTTTTATACACCGTTTATTAGAGAATCTGTTCTTTCTCTTTCCCTCGCTGCTCAGAAATGACATGTTTGAATTGGTTCCCTTCCAGGTCTCATCCCTTTCAATCCCTATATGGCAACTGCTTCTATGGTTTCCTGGGTGGAGTATTTCTGTGGCTCTTTTTCATTTCACTAAATCTCTGTCAGGCTTCCTAACTGAACCATTATTGGCTCCTCTTCCTCTTGTTTTGCAATTTTCTATACTTGGCTGTCTCTTTTCTCTTTTCAGATTCCCTCTTTGCCATCTCAGAGAGCTCCAACAATCTGCTCTATGTAAAAGACCTCCATGTCCACATCTGCAGGCCCATAGCCAGCCATGTGTTTCCTGGAAGTCACCTGTGAGGGGTTGGTTAAGAAGCCCATCAACTTGCCTAGGGTATGGGGGTTCATGATCTCCTGTGGTGGATGACCTGCCCACATCTCCAAATTAACATGCCCAGACACACCTGGGCACCTGGCTCCTCCAAGGGCCTCTTATGTGGGCTAACAGCAACACTCTCTTCTCAACCACCCTACTGTCAACCCTCAGGATCATCTTGTGCCAAGGCCCCTCACACCCAGGCACCTATTTGGTCATTTGGTTTCACAAGCAAGTGTCTTCTCTGCCATTTATATAGGCAAACCCACACAGGGCTCTGTACTAGTCTCCCTGACTCCTCTCCTCGGCTACAGTGGAGTTGTGATAGGAATATTAGAACCTTAAACTATTATTAGTAACATATAAAATGTCATTTATACATATATATATATAAGAGCCATGAGTGCCTGATAAGTAGACAGTTGTCAAAGCTTAACTGTACTTGTTGTTTCTTTACCTGGTAGTTTATTGCAACCACAGTACTCAGGTTTAAGTTAAAAAACAAAATTACTTCCTTTCCTTTTTCCCATACTGTAACCAATGAGAGAGCTGATAATCCACCTCCCTTCTTTCTGAGTATCCACTGTGCACACCTATTTGTAGTGAGATGCCAAAGCTTTTATGGGACCCTCAATGGATGGGAAAACAAAGTGCTCTCATGGGATCTAACAGACGCCCACTTGAGTAATAGAAAAAGTCTATCTGTCATCCAGGGCTAATGGCTCATCATGTGAGGCAGACAGGGCCCTGTCTTCCTTCTTCTTGTCAACAGCAGAGTAAATGGGTTATACAATAGATCCAGTTCAACAAGGAGCCTGGACACAGCACCCCCTTTCACCTTAACAGACTATAAGTACCACCAAAGAATCCACGATGAACAAACAGATGGTCTTTGGAAGCACCCGTAAGATCTTATGAGTGAGACTATCTTAGAGCATATCAATGAAAGACACAGTAAATAAAACCAAACATTACGACAGTGATTGAAAACAACAGTTAGTTCTAAGCATTAGTGAGCCAGCCAGAGGCTGACCAAAGTTACACTCTAAGCTTCTTTCCTTAATTTCATTTTCTTCTCCTTCAAATGTTAGACTGTTTTGGCATCTTGCGCGGCTGGAGAAGGTGGCCCTAGCCCCTGTTGTCGTGAAGAAGCAGGTGGCCAAGGTGATGAATCCCCTGAGAAAGACCCAAGAATGTTGGCACTTGCAGGACATCTGGCCCCAAGAGATGCTCACCAGCTTTGTCAAGCGGCCCTGCTACATCCAGGTGCAGTGACAAAGAGCTGTCCTCTAAACATGGCTGAAAGTACCTTGGTGAGGAACCAGTTGGTCCAGGCCTTGGGCAGCAAAACAACACTCAGCTGCCTAGGCTGGCCCACAAGTACAGACCAGAGACAGAGCAAGAGAAGAAGCGATGGCTGCTGTCCCCGGCTGAGAAGAAAGCTGCCGTCAAAGGGGAGGCCCCCACTGGAGACCACTTGTCCTTGGAGCAGGGGTTAACACTGTTGCTACCTTGTGGGGAGAACAAGGCGGCTCAGCTGGTGGTGACTGCGCACAACGTGGATCCTTTCAGGCTGGCTGTCTTCCCATCTGCCCTATTATCACGAGAGGGGTGTTCCCTACTACATCATCAAAGGAATGGCCAGGCTGGGACGTCCAGTCCACAGGGGGACCTGCACCAGTGTTGCCTGCACACAGGTTAACTGGGAAGACACAGGAGCTTTGCCTAAGCTGGTGGAAACTACCAGGACCAGTTACAATGATGAATATGCCAAGATCACTATCACTGGGGAGGCAATGTCTGGGGTCACAAATCTGTGGCTTGCATTGCCAAGTGGCAAAAGGCAGAGGGTCAAAGGACTTGCCACTCAACTGGGTTTAATGTATACTGTTGAGTTTCTGTACTTAATGAAAATTCTCCTTCAAAAACAAACAAACAAAAAAACTTAAACTCTTCATTGTGGAGAGGCACAGCAGCATAACAATACTATTCCACATCCCAAACCAGAAACAGTAAGCACCACAAGGCTGTAAGGAACCACACCCTTCATGAAACCCACACTGATTCCTGATAGAGGGTTGAGAAGGGTATTTTCTGAGCAGTCACAAGATTGTGCCACCTGGAAAACAAAGCTGGTGTCTGTTCTTTCTCAGCCCTGAGGATATAAGATAATAATAGTGAATTCTGGGACTCTAAAATGTTTCAGATATAAGAAGAGGTTGCCACTCCAGGACCTCATCCAGCTAGCAGTGTTCTCTTATTTTACAAATGAGAAAATAAGATTCAAGAAGATAAAGTAAATTGCAAAGGGCCAGGTGTGGTGGCTCATGCCTGTAATCCCAGCACTTTGGGAGGTCAACGCAGGCAGATCATTTGAGGACAAGAGTTCAAGACCAGCCTGGCCATTATGGTGAAACCCCGTCTCTACTGAAAATACCAAAATTAGCTGGGCATGGTGGCAGGCACCCATAGTCCTAGTTTTTCAGGAGGCTGAGGCACGAGAATCTCTTGAACCCAGGAGGCAAAGGTTGCAGTGAGCCAAGACTGCATCACTGCACTTAAGCCCGGGTTACAGAGCCAGACTCTGTCACAACAACAACAAAAAAGATAACTGCCATGGCAACACTGCCAGCTTATGGCAAATTACTACAAAGGTCTCCCAAGTCCCTGATTCAGTGTTTTTTTCTTCCTATATCACAAAGTAATTAACTTCAAGTTATTACTTCCTTGTAAGTATCTTTATTGTGTTAAATTATGCAAAATGTTGAAAATGTTACTGCCTTTGGCATAGATTTAAAATATTCATTTCTTTCTTCCCCAAGACAATGACCACCTGGCTCTAGGGAACCCAGGGGACAAACATCATTCTGCCAGAGATGCTATCCCCTATTTTCTTTTCTTTTCTTTTTTTTGAGACTGAGCCTTGCTCTATTGCCCAGGCTGGAGTGAAGTGGCACGATCTCAGCTCACTGTATCCTCTGCCTCCTAGGTTCCAGAGATTCTCCTGCCTCAGCCTCCAGAGTAGCTGAGATTACAGATGCACACCACCATGCCCAGCTAATTTTTATATTTTAGTAGAGATGGGGTTTCACCATGTTGGCCAGGATGGTCTCCATCTCTTGACCTTCAGTGATCTGCCCATCTCAGCCTCCCAAAGTGCTGGGATTGTAGGAGTGAGCCACCGCACCCAGCCTATTTTCATTCTTTTCCTTTTTTTTTTTTTTTGAGATGGAGTCTTGCTCTGTTGTCAGGCTGGAGTGCAGAGGCACAATCTTGGCTCACTGCAACCTCTGCCTCCTGGGTTCAAGCAACTCTCCTGCCTCAGCCTCCCAAGTAGCTGGGACTACAAGTGTGCACAACCACGCCCAGCTAACTTCATTATTTTCTTTAAAAGGAGGCTTATTCAAGCATTTCAAAAGTCCAGATACAAAAGTGGCTACTGTTATTATTTTAGAAAGATGATCCCTCTCCACACGGTCATTAGTGTTACTATCTTTAAGACAGATTATTAAAACAATAAAAAAATCCCACTATATCTTGCCATGGCCATTCTACTAAATAAATTCCATTTCAAAAGTATTTTCTTAAAGGCTTAGCAGACACAATTCAATTGACAAATGAAAAAATGCTTGAACAAATTATAAAGCTATCTCAACCTTTTAAGTAATCAAATTTAAAGCAGCTGTGATTTTGCACATTTAAAACCATATTCTAAGAATAACAGATCCTTGGGCTGAACGCTTTACATTAAAAAAAATACTACTGAAGAAATGGTGTACATTTATATAAAGTACATAGTCTAAAACTTCAGAAATCCCATCCCCATTGTCAAGCACAACTTTCTAGAGGCATCATTAAGGATAAAGCAGTTTAACTCTGGAAGCATGTTTAGCACAAGATGGCAGTCACTAAATACCCATCTAACTGCCTTAACAGGTAAATCTCGTTAAAAAAATCATCTTCCTTTAAAGAAAAAAGAGAAGTAAATGCGACAAATCGAGGGAACATTATTGTTCCATCAAGTGAATGACCTTAGTTGTGGAAAGATCAACTGTCTCCTGGAAATGACGATTCTCCTTGAGATGCATACATTTAGTAATAAAATCAGTTGTTAAGACGTGCGAATGTGCAATCAGTTAGGCTCCTGAAAACAATACTCAGTGACACATCTGATCCAATTCAGATACTGTGCTATCTGAGGCAAATGCCAGGACTCCCATTATCGCTAGTCCTGGGACGTGCTCATCTAAGAAAGATGAAGGTAGGCTGCAAAGGGCAGGCCCTTCAGAGAGAATGTCTGCTGACAGCAACTCCTGCCTAATTTTAGAGCCTGACAGGTTTAAAGCAGAATGTTCATAAAAGGTTGTTGAGCTCCCCCTTTTTATCAGAGTTGACAGAGACCACTTGTGTGGTCTGTGCTATGTGCACCAAATAAATCTGATAAGAAGCAGAACTGCTCTGAGAGTCCACAGGCAGCACGCAGAGGAACAAGACATTCCATTACCAGAAGAACTAAGCAGTAGGCAGGCAACCTCTGTGCTTCCGTTACCCCGTAAAATGAGCATACGAAGAACTTCTTAGGATTTAGAGGGAAGCACTACACGTTTCTGTGCTATACTAAGGTGAAAAAGACTAGCCTGGCATTAGAAGGCTGTCATCTTGTCGATGTTCCAGGCATTTAATTTCGGGGAGTGGAGAGGAGTTTAAGTGTCACCTTTGGGCAGAAAGAAGAAAAGTCTATTCCAGACTGCTTTAGTTTTTCCAAGGATGGCTGGGCATTTTGGTATCACTGGGGATTTAAATGCTCCCTTAGGACACCTCAATAACAGCAAAGTCAGTCTATTTAAAATGTTTTAACTTTCAGTACATTTCTTGAGCACCAACAATGTGCTAAGTGCTATACTGATCATCTCTGCAGAAATTTACCAGCTCTCTAAGACTCAGCCATCTGCTTTTTGGAATAATATGCCTTTTCCCAGTCTCAAACTGTGAAGCAAAAAGCGAAATAGAAAGTGGAAGTTCTGAATACAAGGAAAGAAGAGCAGTGATGAAGGCACAGCTGGATATCGTGCTATGGCACTTTGATGAGTTTATTTGGATTTTAGCGGTAACCTGGTGTTTTGAGGTAGAAAGACACACAGGGTTATGATGAATAAATCTGACTTGATTGTAAAATATAAAAAAGCCATATTCAGTTCCACTGATCTGATCTCTTTGTAGTTAATGAAGACGCATAAGACTACATTTTCATTAAAAGTGAAGGGACCCTGCTACATGCCGAGGCTCAGAGAAAGCAGTTTCTGTTTTGGTACAGGCAGAAACTGCCCTGTAACATGGCTCACTGCAATGGGATTTAGGCTGCATATGGAATGCATATGCTGTGTGTTTTGCTGCTGCATGAAAACCACATGATGAATCCATCATCAGGGGGATGTCACTATTGCACTGCTTGCACTCAATAAATATTTGTTCAATGAAAAAATAAAGTAGAATTGCATATTAAACACACACTTTTTTTCTTCCCCTCAGCCAGCTCTGTTTTATTGGCAATGTGATGCTCAGGCCTTGATTGTGTACTTCCGCAGCAGGTACAACTGCTCCTTCTGTTGCGGCTTCTTGGTCTTCAGGTTCTCCTTGTGCTTGCTGAGCTGGTGGTGCCTGGCGTGTGTCTTCTCAGGTTGCAGGTTTAGGTGCTTAGACTTCTTGCCCTTGTAGAATTTCCTGAGGTTTTCTTTGTGGGTCTGGTTAATTGCAGTGAGAACACAGGTAACGGATTTGCGGACCACATGGATCTTAGAGAGCTTAGAGGCAGTGCCTCCTGCCACTGGCCACGCAAAGTTGGGACAGCCCCACTTTCAAGTCATCCAGCTGTTTCAGCAACTCCTCCTCCTTCCCGCGAAGGTCCTGAGCCTTGAGCTTGGTCACTGCTGCACAGGCAGCTGCTGCCTGTACCAAGGGCTAAACACTCTCTTTTTATCCTCAAATACCTATACCAGCTTGCCTCAGGTCCAGAGCTCTAAGTCATTGTAGCTACCTCTCCCACAACAACCCAGCCCCGCCTGCCTGCACACGGACCTTGGCTTCCAGGACCCCTGCTTCCAAACTGAGCACCTGCTACCAGATTAATCTATCTAAAATCTCCCTTTTAATTTAAGTCACTCCCCTATTCAAAACAGGCAATGCCTCTCCATTCTCTACAAAATGAAGTCCATATATGTATGTATATATGTATTTAAAGCAATCCTCATCCTCCTGCCTCAGCCTCCTGAGTACCTAGGACTACAGGCATGCACCACCACACCTAGCTGATTTCTTATTTTTTGTAGATACATGGGTCTCATTATGTTGCCCAGGATGGTCTCAACCTCCTGCCCTCAAGCGATCCTCCTGCCTGGGCCTCCCAAAGTGCTGGTATGAACCACCAAGCCAGCAAAAGTCCATATTTTTAGGCCAGCGATTAAAGGTCTCCCCTCTTTGCCTTCAACTTCTCTCAGTTTTGCCAACTTCAACCAGCCTCTCTTACCTCCAGAGCCCCAATCTCAATGTCACATGCTTTTCTAGACCAAATCATGACTGAAAAAAAACTATCAGCTCTTAGAATTTCACTTGTTTGAACTCTTCCTCCCCTACCCAATGCAGATACCCACAAAGCTACATCTCAGGCAGGTTCATCCTTTGCTTAAATATTTCTAGTAAGAAAGAAACTTAAAACAGCACAAATGGCCATTTTGGAGCCTCTCTGTTAGAAAGTTATTCCTTACACGAAAAGGTTAAAATAACCAAAACCAAAAGAAACAAAAGTCAGCCAAGGTTCTGGAGACAAAACCTAGTGACAGAACCTTGCAAGCTAATTATCAACTAAAATTTCCATATGTTTAAAAAGAAGTGTTAAAATACCTACCAGTTACTTTCGTATTTTTCACAACCGAGTTTTCTTTGGTTCATATTTTGGTCAAAATTCACATTATTTTACTTGACTTGCTGAAAACACCATATATCAAGCAAGCACTAGTCTAAGCGCTTTAAGAATATTCTCTCTCATTTTAATCCAAATATGAAGTCTATACAGTTGGCTCTCTATATCCATGGGATTCACATCTACAGATTCAACCAATTGTAGATTGAAACATTTTTTTTAAAGCCCAACAAAAAATAATACAACAATTAAAAACTTTTAAAAACAGGATAGTATAACAACTATTTAGGGAGGATTTACATTGTATTAGGTATCATACACAGTCTAGAGATTAACTTAAGGTGTGTGGGAGGATGACCATAGGCTGTAGGCAAATGACGTGCCATTTTACATAACTGACTTGCGCATCCTCAGATTTTGGTATCCGCAGGGTGTCGTGGAACCAATTCCCTGTGGAATGTACTATGAATACTCCCACTTTTCGGCTGGGGTCATTCTGACCCAGATACGCTGTTAAGTAAGGAACCCAAGTCATACATCTTGTAAACAATGGATCAGGATTCGAACCCAAGCTTTCTGGCTTCATACTCTATGCTCTTGGCCACTGTAAAAAAGAGATCAGCCAATCCCCGACCCCTCCTCTGGGGGCCCGCTCCTCCTGAACTCTCCATGGTACTGTGTTGTGCACTCATGTGTCCCCGTTCTAGGCTTGTGTATCTATTTGCCTGTGTATCCAGCATGGTACCCAGAAGACAGCAGGAGCTTAGAAAACAGGTGTTAAATACGTAAATGAATGCCCAAGCTGGACCCTATATTTCAGTTAAACAGTATCAGAAAAGGTAGTTTAAATGGCATTTCATTAAAAAAAATTATACAAACAGAGCAGCCTAGAGTCTTGCCAGAAAATGCTTGTAAGTTGAAAAGTAGTAAGATAAAATTAACTTTGGTTGAAGCACTTAACAGATTATATAAGCTTTTTGAGGTCATAAATTTCCAATTTATAACTAATGAAATATATTTAACATCTGACATTTTCCTTATGTGTAGCTGTTAATCTGTTAATTTAGTAATGCCAGGGCAGAGGAGCTTTATGAGCTCTTAAACTGTTTAGTTACAGTAATTTACTGCATGAGATTGTGCCTGCATAATAAAAACCCAACAAGGATACGTGAAATCCATTCTTCCTTCCTTCCTTCCTTCCTTCCTTCCTTCCTTCCTTCCTTCCTTCCTTCCTTCCTTCCTTCTTCTTTCTTTCTTTTTTTTTTTGAGACAGAGTCTCACTCTGTCACCAGGCGCCAGGCTGGAGTGTAGTGGCACAATCTTGGCTCACTGCAACCTCCACCTCCCGGGTTCAAGCAATTCTTCTGCTTCAGCCTCCCGAGTAGCTGGAACTACAGGTGTGCGCCACCACGCCCAGCTAATTTTTTGTATTTTTTAGTAGAGACGGGGTTTCACCATGTTGGCCGGGATGGTCTTGATCTCTTGACCTTGTGATCTGCCCGCCTTGGCTTCCCAAAGTGCTGGGATTATAGGCGTGAGCCACTGTGCCCAGCCGTGAAATCCATTTCAAATCCTCATTAACTCAGAACTATAGCAGACCACTTATTTGTTTTATTGCATTAGAGAGAAAAGTAAAATTAATAACCAAAATGCTGAAAAGACAAACTGACTCTGGTCAGAATGTTCATTAACAGAAGAGAACAGTGTAGCCTTAAAAATGTGTGGCTGGTAACTATTTACCCCTTAAAAGGGTGAACTATTAAAGACAGCAAATGTTAGTGTGGAAAAAGCAGAGCAGTGTTAGTGCAGTTAGGTGGTTCATGGCAGTGTGTGGGGATTTAATGGGACTCTATGAAGCTGAGTGTGGCCCCGAATTGAGGACAGCAACAAAAGTCCTAGAACCAGGAAGCTGGCATAACTGTTCAATTACCATTTTTTGTTTGATTGTCCAAAGGAAAGTGAGATGCAGCAACACACCGAGGAGCAAATGCACATAAAATAATCTTTACTGTAGAAAAACGAATGACCAGAGTACTGAAAAGGTGAATTTGTAAGTAAAATTCTTTGGCACAAAGACATTTATGCAAATTTCTGTTGGACAAATCTAATACTATTATACTCTGATCCACTTCTACTTAGAGCCTCTCAGACAATACAAATGCAAATCACCAAAATAAATCCTCCAGGTGAGTAAGAGGCAAAAAGAAATCCATCAGAAATTATTTCAAGTTGCTTAAAGAACAATCACTGAGGAGCCCATGAGCACCACAGTGCTCTGCGCCTCGCACCAGGAAACATGGGGCCAGAAGTGGACTCAGACTGGCGAACGAACTGAGCCTGCAAGCAGGTGGTTAGTCAGAAGAGACTGAACTAGGGGCTTAGAGGTGGCATCGCAAATTGCTACTGGGAAGCAACTTACTAAGTGGGGCGGGTAAAATGAAAACAAATCACAAGGTTCAGAAATCCTGCTGTGAAGGTACCAGAATATTCTTTTTGATTTATATTCCGAACCTGGCTGTGTGAAATGTTGTTTTATATTTGTACAGTAGAATAACAGTAGCAGAAATGTTATTGGTCAAATCATATATATCTTTCTTGATGGCCCGGACGTGCCTCCCACCACTCTAGCCCCAGCACTATCGTCATAGAAAGATGTTTGCATACTCCTTTGTTTCTAAACACAGAAATATACTTTTAATCTTACAGATATACTTCTTTCTTTCTTTTTTCAGGCTCTCACTCTGTCATCCAGGCTGGAGTACATTGGTACAATCATAGCTCACTTGCAGCCTTCAACTCCTGGTCTCAAGGGAACCTTGTGCCTCTGTCTCCTGAGTAACTGAGACTACAGGTATGTGCCACCATCCCTGCCTAATTTTAACTTCTTTTGTAGAGATGTGGTCTCACCTATGTGTCCCAGGCTAGCTTCAACCTCCTGGGCTCAAGTGATCCTCCCGCCTTGGCCTCCTAATGTTCGGGGATTACAGGCATGAGCCACCTTGGCCAGCCCTATATATACACCTTTTTTTATTGTCACCAGTATAATCAAGAAAATGAAAGCTGAAGATGAAAAACTGAATCATGTTCATGAAATATCTAGAAAAGAACATGGTATACTTCACTGATGAGAGACGGCATTCAGAATGGTGGATGAGTCAGCAAGAGGGCAGGGCCCAGGCTGGTGGGGTCTCATGGGCATTGCTCAAGGCTGGTCAAACTGTCAGACAAACATCATGAAGGCTAGGCTATTTATTAAGAAGCCACTTTATCCTAAGAAAAGAATGGCAAAGAGTCACTTCTGTTTTAGTCTTGATCTCAGAACTGACTGCCCTGCCTGCTAATACTGATCCCAGCCAGGATGTCAACCCATTAATGAATGTATTAAGAATGATATAAATCATTCCTCAAGCTGACACCACCACAAACTCTCAATATTGTGGTGTAATGTGTTTACAGGAGACTGGACTTCACCAATGTCACCCCTAGGAGTCTGGCTAGACTCCATGTATGTTTTTCCACTGATGAAAGCACACCATCTTCAAGTCAGTCTAGAATGAGGAATTGGTTTCTTGACTACCATATCAACCCACCCCACTGTGAGCCCAGGAGCTGGGGTGAACCCAGTGGTTATGGAGAAGAGCAGCCCTAGAAGGGATCACAGCTCTCCAAGAAGGGCTCTTTTTGGAGGGGTGGTAAAGATGGAGGTGGTCCCAGAGAGGCATTGAGACAAAAAGGCAGGTGAGCAAAGAGGGGCTAGAGCAGGTGGATGCAAAAATCAAGAACTAACGGCTAGTGCCTGGCACACTGTGATGCAGCTGAGGGTCACTAGTGGCCATCAAGCCCCCCCATGCTGCTTCCCTGCCTCCACCATCCCCTTCCTCTACCTCTCATCCTGCCCTCTTCTCAGAGACCCTAGGCATTTGAAGAAATGATGGGTCCCCATCCAAGGTTCCTGCATCCAAATAGGTCCACAGAGGACAGATGGGGGCTGAGAGCCACTGGCAGACTCCCAAGCCCAATGGAAGCTGATCTATAAGAGGCAGCCACAAAGATCAGGCCAAGGTTGCCATCAGCTCAACTTAGGCTGAGCAGAAGCTCTGACCAGCAATTCTACGTATTCTCTACTCAGTAAAGTACAAAAATAAATGTTAATAAAAACAGTGTGCTGGAGACACAAACTCTCCCACCATTTTAAGTCTGCCAGAGAAAGTAATAAGGCCCCTGGAGGAGAAAAAAAAAACTATTGATCAGGTTTTCTAGAGCTGTATTTTTAAAGAAAATGCTTGGAAAAATGAAAGCTTAAAAGAATGGAATGAATTTCTTGATAGAATTTTAGGTGCTGCAGTAAAAAGGATGAGACAGGGTATAGAGGTGTCCCCCAAATTCCACCCAGGCCTACCCTGCCTTCTCGGAGGAAGGAGTGCTGTTGGCAGGGCTGGTCCCGTTTGTTCTGTCCCGTCTCCTCCTCCCAGCACATGAAGGAATGGCTGTCGCGCTCTCTACCCACCCTCAAATTGTCTGGTCTCACAACACATTGATGGCCAAAGAGGTGTGGCCAGGGGTGGGAGAGTTACCTCTAGACAAAAGGATTGAAGGCCACCAGAAGGTATCACACACTTTATCTCTATGACTACAGGCACGCACCACCATGCCCAGCTAATTTTTGTATTTTTAGTAGAGACGGGGTTTCACCATGTTGGCCAGGATGGTATCGATCTCTTGACCTCTTGATCCACGTGCCTTGGCCTCCCAAATGAGGGGATGTGGTAGGCAGCCCAGGCCGACATGCAACAGACAGGATGCAGGAACAAGATAGAAGCCTTTCTGGCTTTAAGTTCCTGAGAGTTCAGAGCTGCTTATTAACTGCAATGACTGCACCTATCCTGACTGATATAGAAAAGAACCAGGTAGGAATCTAATCGTAAGAAGGAGAAAATTCTAATGCTTAATATTTGTGAGTCTTCCTACTCCTAAACTAAGCACATAACAAAAAATGTAAATACTTCACAATTTCAAAACTCCTTTTTTTTTTTTAAAGATGGGGTTTCACCATGATGGCCAGGCTGGTTCTGAACTCCTGACCTCAGGCGATCCACCCACCTCAGCCTCCCAAAGTGCTGGGATTACAGGAGTGAGCCACTGCGCCCGGTTTTTTTTTTTTAAAGACAGAGCCTCGCTCTTTTGCCCAGGCTGGCATGCAGTGGCATGATCATGGCTCACTGCAACCTCTGCCTCCAGGGTTCAAGCAATTCTCTGGTCTCAGCCTCCTGAGTAACTGGGATTATAGGCATGTGCCACCACATCTGGCTAATTTTTGTATATTTAAAAGAGACTGGGTTTTGCCATGCTGACCAGGCTGGAAAACTACTTTTTTTTAAAGTTGAAACTCACAAATTGTTTGAAAGAAAAAATAAGTAAGCAGATGGAGAATTCAGGGACTAAGAGCTCTCACAGAAGGAGAGCAAGGAGCTGTTGCTTCGATTCCCTGCACTGAGGCCCCCAGGCACTCTTGGACACTCATTCTCTTTCTTCCCTCCCCACAGAACACAGAAAATGCCCCTTCTGCTGTGAAGGCCAATCCTTCCTCTTAGGGCTGTGGCTCCCCTCCCCTTCTCAAGGAACTTGGTTCCTGGAGTGATTCCCTCCCTCTAGACCAACCCCATCAATGCACCAAGGCAATCTAGTGTCTGTCACTTTAACATGTCCCATGCAGCTTATAATTGTATGGGGTCTATTTTCTTCCCCTTTCCTACCTTCTCCCTGGTCCTGACCTTAATGGCACAAATGCTGTGAAAAGCCTTGTTGGTAAAATAAGTTTTATATAATTAAGATTATTTTTTTTTTTAGATATAGTCTTGCTTTGTCACCAGGCTGGAATGCAGTGGTGCAATATCGGGCTCACTGCAACCTCCACTTCCCGGGTTCAAGTGATTCTCTTGCTTCAGCTTCCCAAGTAGCTGGGACTAAAGGCACGTGCCACCATGCCCTGCTAGTTTTTGTATTTTTAGTAGAGACGGGGTTTCATCATGTTGGCCAGGATAGTACTGATCTCTTGACCTTGTGATCCATGCGCCTTGGCCTCCCAAAGTGCTGGGATTACAGGCGTAAGCCACTGTGCCAGGTCGATTTTTTTAAATAGGTTTTCTTAGCACAGCTGTACAAGTTATCCTATAGGAAGAAAAGGTCAAATTTGAAAAGTAATCTGAAGAAGAGAGAGAGTGGAAGCAGGATGTAAACCACAGCTGTTAAAAGTCAGAGATACTCAATTAATATACCAGGAATTGTATTTTTCTTAAAAAATTTAAATAATTTTAATATAAGCTTTTTTTTTTTTCTGAGATGAAGTCTCACTCTGTTGCCCAGGCTGGAGTGCAGTGGTGCAATCTCCGCTCACTGAGACCTCTGCCTCCCGGGTCCAAGCACTTCTCCTGCCTCAGCCTCCCAAACAGCTGGGATCACAGGCGTGTGCAACCATGCCTGGCTGATTTTTTGTATTTTTAGTAGAGGCGTGGTTTCAGGTGTTAGCCAGGATGATCTTTACCTCCTGACTTTGTGATCCACCTGCCTCGGCCTCCCAAAGTGCTGGGATTACAGGCATGAGCCACCATGCCTGGACCCTAATTTAAGCTTTTTACACCATACCATTAATACAAGATTATTTTAACTAGAAACAATGCCATACAAAAATGTTAAAAGCATAGCTAATTCTCCCCATCTTCAATCACACCTACTCATAAAGAAACCAGTGAGTGATAAAAGCATCTACCTCCTCCTTCCTTGTCTTTCTTGATACACCCTGTTCAGCCCTTGTCCACCCCACTACTTACTGAAAGGGCTCTTATCAATATCACCAACAATCCACCTTGCCAAATCCAAGAACTCCTCTTCCATCCTCATTTACCCAACCATCAGAACTGGGTGTTGCCTGCCACTCCTTCTTTTAATCCCCTTTCCTGGATTTCCTGCTCTACCTGGTGAGGCCTCTGTGGGTTTAGCTCTCACCTTCCTGGCTGCTGCTTCTCATGCTCCTTTGCTGGCTATTCCTCCTTCAACTGACCCCCACTAGATGTGGGGCTCCCCCAAGCTCAGTCCTGAGCCTTCTCTACTCTTTAATATGCTCTGCATATAACTTTACCCTTGTCCCTGGATTTAAGAAACATATTTATGCTGAAGATTCCCACTTAAAACTCAGATCTCTCCTTTGAGCATGAGACTCAAATATCTAATTCCCTATTTGACATTGCCACTTGGATGATATTTAACATGTACCAAAAACTTAACTAGTTCAAAGTATTTATCCTCCTAATCTCATCCTTCACAACCCACTGCCAACTCATTGATAAATGGTGCCAGTTTCTCAGATTCAAAATCTCAGTCATTCCTCAGGCATCCTTTTCTCTCAGCCCACCAACATGCAATCCCTTAGTGTATCTTTGCAATTCTACCTTCCAGGTATATTACAAACTCACCAGCCTGCCTTGTCCACAGTCCCTACTCTAGCCCAGGTCACCTTATCTCTTATCTGGTCTACTGCTACCAATGTCCACCTGCTCTCTCTACTTTCTCATCACCTCCTCTAATCTGTTCTCCACAAAATGGAAAATGGTATTCTTATATCAGAACCATGTCGCTCTCCAGTATAAAACTCTGCAGTGACTTCCATCACACTGGGAATTAATCTGACATCCCTAACACGGCCGAGGCTCTCTGCCTTCCCTGCTGCCCTTCATCCACTTTCCCCTTACTTACTGGGTTTCTCTCAGGTCCTCTCTGAGACCAAATGCTTTGTTCTCAGGGCCTTTGCTTTAACATTCTGAGCTGCCTGTCCCCCAATTTCACGTGGTTAGTTCTCTCTGAGCCTTTAGGTTTCCATTTAAATGAAAACTCAGGGGAGCTTCCATGACCACTCAAGCCGCATGGGACCCTCTGTCATTCTTGGCTACAGTCTTTGTTTATTTCATGCACAGCTCTTCTCTCAACTTGCAATACTGACATTTATTTTCTGTTCACTTGTTTTTGTCTGTATTTCTCATAAGGGCAAAGATGACCTCTCTTCAGGTCACTGCTACATTCCCAGTGTTTAGCACAATGCTCGACACATGGTACATTCTTAATAAAACACACTGACAGGATGAATGAAAGGTGTTCTTCTGCATCACACCTGCACCCATCAATGCTGATAGAGAATTTCTGAGAAAAGGTAAGAAAGGGCAGCCATATATAGATATAAATGAATTGTAAATCCAAACAGGTGAGCTTTAGGAATCCCAGAATACTCCTTCATTGCTCTTAGCTCTAAGGATTCTGAGCAATGGTGTCAAAGTCAGCACTTCCAACACAATCAGATCTGCAGATTCTCAAACAATATGCCATCCACAGTTCAGATTATACTCCTTCCCAGTATCTTCCAAATACTTAAATTAGCTATATACATATTAAATTCTGGAGTTGAATTAGATATATTCTAGGCAAAACAGAAAACTTGTGGCTCCAGATGTAGGTAGCACATAATAATTTTTCACTTGCAGCCTAAATGATTTTCTATTTTAAGTTCAATTTCACAGTCAGTCTCTACCTGAACTGAGATTTAAAAGAAAAAGCATGCTGTTTAAAGACATGCTTGTATGCGTATATTAATGTTTATGGCTACTTCTATACATACAGATGTATACAACTGTACACACATAGAAGCTCGGAGGACACAAGGAGTCATCTATTACTTGATCCAGAACTAACTGGTAAATGCTCTTAAAGACAGAATTAAAATGGGTTTCATTTATCAATTCAGCCGAGAAGAGGATTTAAATTTCCTTGAGACATGAACCAACATAAATGATGAAGCTTTCTCGAGTGTCTTAACAAAGCCACAGTGTTTTATATCAATTTCTACATGAAGACTCAGAAGTAACTACCTCAGAGTACTCAACTGTTTAATTGTGACAGCCTGAAACAGAGAAGCCAGCACTGCTTCTCAGGACAATTCATCTCTGAAGCAATGCATTTATGTACCGAGAACATGGGTGCACATCCATGCTATATTTTCAACTATCAGCTGAATGTCCTCTTTCCCTGTCTTCTGCTTTATACTGAGCTCCCAGAGGCAGGGGCAAAAAGACAGGCTTCTACAGGAGAGCTGACATTTGGATGAATATTGAAGGATGTGTGGAATTTCAGAAAATAGTAAAGAAAAATGAGCAGAACCAGGACGGGTGATGGAGAGATGAGGCAGAGGCGAGTCTGAGTACGGTGGTCCTGGGCTATGGGGCAGCTCTGGGGCAGGATGAAGAAGGGCAGAGAAAGTTGTGTGGAGGAGCGCGTACCCAACACAGACAATGAAAAGGAACCTTCATGTGTCTCTATGAGTTACTCTCACAATGCCTTACACTTCACAATGTTATACTACCATTTTTATAACTATGACAACACTTCTATCTATATCTTACATTGAGTCAGCATAGAGTGTGAATGGATAAATCCAATCTACCTCCCTAAACCCAGGTCAAGGTACACTTAATCCAAATCAAAAGACTACGCTTGTGGAGATGGAAATTTTTTCCTCCCTCCTTCACAGACCAATGACAGTAATGCCAGTAATGGTCTCTCCTTCAGGGAGATAATGGAATATCCCCAGCACTGGGTCTATTTTTACTCAGCCATCACCCATGGACCATCAGTGTAACTCCAGAAAAGCAGAGTGGCGGGGGCGGGCAGGGAGAGGGAAGAAATCTCTGTAGCAGGTGGACAGCCCACATGAAGCTTCTATTGTCTCTCCTCTCCTTTTGTTCTAAAAGAGTACGGCAGGAAGCCAAAAACAGCTAAGTAGCTGGTAACCTAAAATGTTGCCCCTAGGGTTTAAGAGAAGCAGGAAAAGATGACCCCCAACTCTTCCCTGCCAAGGCTTCTCTAGGCAGAGCACATCTAAACAATGATCACACTCGTGTTTCTGGATGGCCTGCGAATCCTATTCTTTGTCTACCATCACCTATTAAGAAGACAGAAATAGGGTGACAGACACTGGGACAGATGTAACCCTGCAGGTAGAAAAACCACCTGCTTTGAACACAGAAGGGCTATCTAGATTCACCGCACAAGGGGCAGAAGTCTTGGGCTACAGTTTCCAAAACAGATCTATGAATATTCTTCTGAATTTGAGTTAGAAGCTGGCTGGTGCCAGTGTTGGCAGGAATGCCAATCCCTGAATAAGATCCTGGGAGAAGTCCACCAAAGATGACAAAACCAAAAGAGTAAATAAAGTTATTTCTGAATGTATTTCAGATGGGGGTTCAGACTGCCACATGGTGACCAACATTAAGACTTGAATAAAATTCTAAGTGTGTGTCTACACAGGCACGCCTCGTAGATGTTGCAGTTCAGGTCCAGGTCACTACAATAAAGAAAGTATTGCAAAAGAGAAAGTCACACACACTTTTGGTTTCCTAGTACATATAAAGTTTCTCTTTACACTAGTGTATAAAGCAATCGCATATGTCTTTTAAAAAATGTACTTAAAAATACTTTATTTCTATAAAATGCTAATGACCATCTGAGTCTTCAGTGATTTGTAATCTTTTTTCTGGTGGAGGCGGGTCTGGCCTCGATGTTGATAACTGCTGATGATTGGAATGGTGGTTGTTGAAGGCTGGGGTTGCTGTGGCAATTTCTTAAAACAACAATGAAGTTTGCCACACTGACTCTTCCTTTCATGAAAGACTTCTGCAACATGCAGTGCTGTTTGATGGCATTTTGCCCACAGTAGAATTTCTTTGAAAATTGGAGTCAAGCCTCTCAAGCCCTGCCACTGATTTACCAATGAAGTTTATGGAATATTCTAAATTCTTTGTTGTCATTTCAACAATATTCACAGCATCTGTAGCAGGAACAGATTCCATCTCAAGAAACCAATTTTTTTGCTCATTCACAAGAAGGAAATGCCTCATCCATTCAAGTTTGATCATTAGTTTGCAGCAATTCAGTCACATCTTCAGACCTACTTCTAATTCTAGATCTCTTGCTGTTTCCACATCTGCAGTGATTTCCTCCATTGAGGTCCTGAATCCCTCAAAGTCATCCCTGAAGGTTGGAATCAACTTCTTTCAAACTCCTTTTAATGTTGATATTTTGACCTTCTCCCATGAATCATAAATGTTCCTCATGGCAATTAGAATGGTGAATCTCCTTTCAGAATGTTTTCAATTTACTCTGCCCAGATCCATCAGAGGAATCACAATGTATGGCAGCTATAGCCTTACAAATGTATTTCTTAAAAAGTAAGATTGGAAAGTCAAAATTACTCCTTCATACATGGGCTGCAGAATGGATACTGTGTCAGCAGGCATAAACATAACATTAATCCCTTTGTACAGCTCCATCAGAGCTGTTGGGTGACTAGGTGCATTGTCAATGAGCAGTAATATTTGGAAAGGAATTGTACTAAGCAGTAGGTCTCAACAGTAGGCTTAAAAGATTCAGTAAACCACTGTAAACAGATGTGCTGTCATCAGGCCATTTCTAGAGCACAGGCAGAGCGAATTCGGCACAGCTCTTTTTTTTTTTTTTCTTTTTTGTTTTAGAGACAAAGTCTTACTCTGTCACCCAGGCTGGACTGCAGTGGTGCAATCATGGCTCACTGTAGCCTTGAGCCTCTGAGCTCAAGTGATCCTCCTGCCTCAACCTCTTAAGGAGCTAGGACTACAGGCACATGCTACCATACCTGGCTAATTTTTACATTTTTTTTGTAAAGAAATTTTGTATGGGGTCCCACCACACTGCCAGGCTCATCTTGAGCTCCTGGCCCAAGAGTTCCTACTGCCTTGGTCTCCTTAAACATTGGGATGACAGGCTTGAGTCACTGTGCACAGCTAATTTAGCATAGTTCTTAAGGGCCCCAGGATTTTAAG